CATTCTTTAAAGCATTGAGAACCCCTAACAGTATACTGTTTGGGGAAAAATCCTGCATTTCAGGGCCCAATTGGTGAACACCATCAAGTCCTTCCTTCGACTCTTCCTCCGCTCGTCGTGCCTCACTTCCACGCCGCGGCCGTCGGCCACCCTCTGCGGTGCCTCCGCGGACGGTGACGAGTCGGTCTCATCCTGCCGTCCGAACGTCCAAACCACATGAAAAAGCTGTTGATCAAACCAACCAACCAACCAACCACCTTCTAGAAAAGCTGCTTGTGGCTCATGATGATAAAGGCTGTTAAGTATAGAGGGATTTGCTACCTGCTTGTCTGCTGGAGGTCATGTTTCTTGATTGTAGTGATCCCCAAGGATCTCAATGTGGAATATACTTTCGAAACACTGAAACAAGCTCTCAGCTCTGCTACATCTTTTCTTACACCAATCAGATGAACCAATCTCGATCAATCACTCCGAATAGAACAAAGTCTCCACCTCTACTGGGCTACTCATCCAGGACCTCTCCTGGCGACTCAATTCCTCCACCGGTCGTCACTCCGCCTGGACCACCGTCCACGGCAGGCGCCCAAAAGTCCCCTCGGTCTCGGTGTTGGAGTGAAAACCTCGGTACCCCCCGGCCAGGCCGATGGTCTTTGATGGTGCCTTCCGTGGTGATTTTGAGACACATCCAAGAGTGATATTAGGCTGGTTGCTTCCCCAAACATATCTGGAAGCTGCAGGTGTGACTTCTGATGCGCAAGGGATGTGGAGATTAAAAACAAAGTTCATCTCTAAAAACAATGGAAATCCCATGGGGTCATCCTTGGATCCATGTCTGGAAGTCCAGCGATTCGCGATGCAAATGCTTGTCCATCGACAATCCGGGAGTGGGAGTGGATAGGTGAGGGGCCGCACCACCGACACGAAGTCACTATGACATGAGCCTCGCTCAATTGTTTCTGGAGTAGATAGAAATCAGAACTATTAATATAATTAGTCATGTTCCCATTTGCTCTGTCTTGTCTATATAGTTATATATATATATATATATTCTATCTTCTCAATTTCTCAATATATTTGTTCGTCTGGAAAGGTATCCCAGATGTTGCAGGCACAGGATGGGGCCGTTACTGACTTCCAAGCCCACCGGAGTCCAAAACCATCTGCCAAGCAACGCCCGGCTGTTGGAGGAGATAAATGATTCCTGCATCCACTTTTGCAGGGGCCGACTGTGGTAACACAGGATCCAACCGCTGAGACTGGCATGTCTCCATCAGTCTCCTAGTCTCAGACATGACAACTCTCTTGTATACAGTGGTCAAAATGATATGTTTCTGCCAGGTGCAGGTGGTTGTCATGTCTTCAGTTCCCTGAAGAACTTTCTCCTGAGATCTTTGGTTCCTATTTCTTGCACACCAACGGAACCTAGAAGACCCCAGGAACTTGGAACAAGAAGATCCCATATGTTCCCATTCTTCCCGGGTAGTTGAGACGTTCTTATAAGCTGCATGCGTGATGAAAGTGCACACGGTCGTTCCGACAGAAAAGACCGACGGAGAGTGGTGTTGCTGCAAGGGTCCTCAAGAACGTCTCGTTGGTGCTGGAGCGGAACCTAGGCAGAACGGCTCAGCTCAAGGTCGTTTCAACCCAGGACTTGAGAACACCTGTCGTCTGAGGTAGTATATATGGCTCTGGTGGTCTCTGGAACTATTTACCACCAGACCGACTAGTATGATGTCATAAAGCCACGATTCGCCATAATTACACACAGTCCGCAAGTTTGTTATTTGCCATCTGGTGATACTCCACTACTTGCACCATCCCCCGTCTATGATTCAGGAAAGCTGAGGGTGAACCATGTAGATGTTCAATCGTGGAAAAGAGCACCGTGTCGAGCAGAGAAACAGACGAGTACCATGGTGAACTTGTGGGGACCCTAGGGAATAACATTGTTCATTAGAGGTTCCCATCATCAATGGAGAGCATCACAATATTATCAACCCAAACTGCCATCCTGGTTACTCCTAGCAACCAACTGTCCAGACCTTACTCCAGCGAACCAGTGAAACACCCCAGTTACTGGGTGTAAGTCTATAATCACACAACCAATGCTCCAAATCTTGGATGTCCTCCATGATCCACTGTTTCGCATCACGAGCAGCTCCTTCCACTTCATCGCCAGGCAGCGGTCCTCGTTTTGTTCGGAGAAAGCGGAGGCTTTTGCATAAAACGATTTGGCAAAACCAAACCACCACGAGATGATAAAGCCCAAAAACTGCACGATCTGGTGTTTCTTGTTTTCGTCAAGGGAATAGGAAGCTGTTGTTGACATCCCATATCATATGTCATTCAATAGCTACACAGCAAATCTCAGCCACAATATTCTCAAAAGCCTCAGTGTTATATCATGCGAAGCAAGAAACGTCACTCGTTTGTGCTGTGCTGACACCCTTTATGGAGATGAAGCATGACACCCAACACCCCCGGCCAGAAAACGCCTAAAACACAAGATTCTCACATACCCTATCATACCGTACCCAATAAAGCCTTGTCCCCCCTAACACTTGAGGATCTTCAAACAAACTGCCACCCTCGCCCATCCCTCCATCCCTCAGGCGCCTCGAGGTCGAAGTCGCACTCGCCGATGAGCTGCTCCCCAAAGCCCAGGGCGGCCTTGGCAAAGACCTCCCGCGCACCGCGCAGACCGCCCGTTCCGGATGTGATTCCGGAAGGAAGGAGTCCAAAAGAAGACAGAAGGAGCAGGTCGCGAAGGCAGACTTTTCGACTCATAGGTCAACTTTTGTGCTTGACTGTTGTTCGGTTGGAAAGCTGCTGGAGGACGAGGAGCAGCCCATGCGGAGCCATGCCGGAGCCATACGGAGCCTCCACGAGTGGAGTCTCCCCATCGGACCTTCAAGGAGTCTCTGTTCACCACCCTTCTTGGGCATGGCACAAGTTATGTGGTTGAGAGGATGAACACAAGTGACAAATTGAAATGCAAAGCCTTGGATACCATGGCAGAGTGCTGGTTAGCATGGAAGAGCGCTGGTATTGAGAAGAGGATGAGATCGGAACACATCTGATTGGTGGATTATATATCTGTGTCTGTCTGTGGAGGTAAAGACCTGAGAACGGGATTTACATGGTGAAGTGATTGGCCCTCATATATTGGGAGTTAGTGAAAATTTCAGTGTGAAGGCTTGAGAACAGATTCGAGTCGTTCGAGGGAGGTTTTCCCAAGCATCACAGCTTGAACCTCATCAGACTCCTGAATGTCAACATCCCACACCTTGTGATAAACATTGACAAATGTGGTTCTATACGTGTTTTTTGTGGCCCAAAACATCTTGGTAACGTCACCAATCCAAAGCCCCCCCCTGGTCGTTTCTCCTTGCGCGCGCCCGCCTGAACGTTGAGCTCGTGGGCACCGGGCACTTGGGTTTCGAAGGTCACGGAGTGGTACACGCCGATGATCTTGGTCCTGGCGAAAATCGTCAAATCATCACGGGGGGGGTGCCGTGATTTAAGAGGAAGCAAAGAGGTGGGAGGTGGGGTCCTGATGGTCCTGTCTCTTAGGTACAAGGACCTTGAAGGGTCCTGGAACGGTCCCGGGTTCATGTTTTCGGGTATTCTCCCAAACGACTAATGCCATCAGTGAAAGGGCTGGATTCCGGGTCAACACAGTCAGCCTAGAAGCTCACTGAAAGTCATTGACACAGAAGGGTAGATCCACCGACACCCCTCATCCCTTCTGGAAATCGCGAGGTCCCCCGGCAGCCCTGTTTGATGAAGGAACTTTAGTTTGGTCATAGCGACTAGACACCTCACCAAAATAGTGCACTTGGGCACGTTCACCCCTTTCATGGTTTAAGCTTCGAGTGTGTGTTCTATTGCACCATGCTCGTTATTCTTCCAGAACCCTCTACCCAAAGCAAACCCCAACACAGCTTGGATTAATGCAGGCTCATGACTCCTGACACAGTGCTCTCTCTCTCTCTCTCTCTCTCCTCTCTGTCAGAATAACATCGCCCAGCAGGTCTTGGCATGTCTTCGCATCGGTTATCCTTGGAAAAAGTAATGTTTCCTCTCACATGTCTACCAGGCCCATTGCCCCCTTCGCCGAACACAGGTCAGGAGCCACTGAGGGATGCTGGATTGCACCACCTGGGCAGCGAGACCAGCGTCATTGCCCCTTTCGGTGACCCAAAACCCGCTGTCCGCTGTCCCCTCCGGCGACCAAGATCCAAGTCGAACCTCCGGGACGGTCGACCGGTCCGTGGCCCCGGGAAGACCGGTGGACCCGGTCAAACAGGTCTGAGGCGAAGCACTGGTGTCTGTTGCTCCTCGTTGCCCAGGCGGACCTTGAAATAGATCTCCGCGCAGTCTGGCAGGAGTGCGGCGAAACAAATGAACCGTATCACGTATATGACGTATCACTACCCCGTATCACGTAGAGCTTCAGAGCTCCAGCAACTGCGATTCATTCAGCCTGCAAAGTGTCCAAGAATTAGTTCTCAAACTTCCTGTGCCCTTGACTCCCCTGACACTTCTTGTATGGCGTCTCAAGTAGAATAAATATATAAGTCAAACGTCAAGATCAAACATGATTCAAACATGATCAACAACTTTGCCACTGGCAGTTGCGCCTACGTTGTGGTCCAGCTTGGTGAATGTGCAAAGCGTCAAAGACACAAAGAAAGTGCTGGCCGTCCAAAGGTTCTCCACCTGTGAGACATGGCGAACCGTCCGACCGTCCATGGCTGCACTTCCTTTTGGTCTGGGTTGGCAGTCGACTTTTGTCCAGTGGCTTGGCCTCGGGAGGTCTCATTCTTACACAGGTCGAACAGTACTCAACCTCCCCATGGGCGCTGTAGTTCGATCACAATTGCCACCGGAGTCGACATCGATTCAGCAGAATCCAATCCAAGGTCTTTCTTCAGCAGAAACTGGTCCAAATAGTAAATGTTCACGAGCTTTGCCCACAGACCCTTAGACCCTTCATGCTAGACCGTTCCCACTCGTGTCGTGCAACGAGCCCCGCACAGCAAAATCGTTGGCATCCTTGGTGCCGGTCACATGCCAAAAGCCCACTAAAGAAGGGCCATTCACTCGGCGAAAGGTTTAACAGTCCAGAACACACAGAGAAAAACCACGCCATCCATTGCACAAAATAAGCAAAAGCAGAGAGAGAGAGAGAGAGACAGAGACAGAGACAGACAGAGAGAGAGAGAGAGAGATTATGTTGTTTCATGTGTTGCTAATTGAAGGGCCGCCCATTCCAGCGCAGTCTGTTCCCGCAGACCGAAACAAACCCTGATGGCTCAACTCAACCAACTCAACCCAGATGGCTCGACTCTTCAGCCAAGGGGCTAGGTATCCCTCATTTTCCTGGCAGATGAGACTCGGACTCGGAGGTTCTTGGCAACCTTCTAGGGTGCAGGAGTTCTTCCAAAGGACTCCCACATCTTCCCTTTCAAAGTAACGACCCTCCCGATCCTCCCAATGGTTGCTGCAAGGGATAGGCCATAGGCCAATGCTTGAACAAAACAAAGTAATGAATCAGGATCAACAAAGGTCGGAGGTTCTCCAAATCACCATCCCAAAACACTGGAGGAAAACCCAGCAGTAGTTGTGGGCTATTGTATCTCTAGATTACTCTAGATCCTTCAGACAGCTCTGGAGATATTCTGTCAAAAGGAGATGTGGCCATCTATGCGACCACCAAAAAACAGGATGGTCACATCTGTGTTCGTTCCGAGCAAATCACAAGCAAATCACTTCCGGTCCTCAGGTCAGCGTACCATTGGACCCACAAACCACGGCCAACCCACGGAAACAAAAAAGAAAAAAAACATGAAACACGTGCAACTATAGTGAGACGAAAGCTCAGAAAACCAGAAAACCTTCTACAAAAACCATATAGACCCCTGACATACTGGACCCCGCGCAGCCGCGGGTGCATTTTTTCCCCGTGTTTCGCGGTGACAACGGGCACCTCGTCGTCCACCTTCTGGACCTTCACATGGCCCTTCAGGACCGTCTCCCCCCTCGGCGTCGGCCGTGCGAACCCCCGCAGACGAGGCGCCTCATTTAAAGAAAAAGAACACAAAGATCGAGGGCGGTGAGACAACATGAGGCCATGTTGTGTTGTTGGGAAAATGTTGCTTAAAAAAGAAGCCATGAATGAAGATCACTGGGAGCAGAATTGGGTGTATGTGCTGGAAATCTGGCTGTGCATACCTTTATATTTCTTCAAAACGACCGTGCCTAAAAAGCACCATGCCGCCATGCCTTCAATACGGGCGAGCGACGTGTCTGATGGAAGGGCCAAAGTCCGCTGCAAGTTCATGAACTTGGAGAAGAAAACCTCCTGGCACGTGGAAGCGAAGAACAAAGTAATATATAAGTGCTCGAGGGCTCCTTCAAAGAGCTCAAGGGCTACGCAGGAAAGCTTAGGTCTCTGAATATCCAATGGATTTCTAGAGATTTCTGAAGGGTGTCCCTCCTGCGGGCTGATCTATCCTCAACATTTGGGGGCAACCAGGCTTAGACGTTGCGCGAGTCGAAGGCCAGTTCGCTGCTCTTAGTGCTTGCACACTATCTGACAATCGAGTATGTTTGTTAAGCTCTGGGGAGGTGAAACTGGCCACTGTTGTCGCTGTTTTGCCATGCTCCCTCTGAGTGGTTTTTCATGTTGGGTTCTATGAGTTCTATGATGTTCCATGTATATATTTCTTTATTGGCTTATAGGTCCTCGGTCGAGTCCATGAGGGGTTAAATATGGGTTTAGCATGGTTTAGCACGGTTTAGAAAAACAAGACCCGAGGTTTTAAGAACAAACCTGAGGTATTTTTGATTTCACAAAAATACCTGAGGTTCCGATTGAGACCCTACAAATCTATAGGGGTTGGGTGCATAGGGTGTATATATATATATAATTGCATCCTCGGTCCATGCTCCACTGACGGCGCCTCCTCGGGCCCCCCCCCCCTCATCGGCCTTGACCCACTCGTCGTTCCCTGCGCTCAAGTCTTTCAGCTCCGGAAAGCTCTCCCCCAAGACCTGCCAACTGATGCGGTCGTAACAAGGACGCAACAAACGGAACAAGGGCATCGCTACTAGGAGCAAGGACGCTACTAGGGGCTCCTAGCCTTACTACTAGGAGCAAGAAGCTACTAGGAACAAAGGACATCGGTACTAGTAACAGAGGGCATTACTACTAGTAGCATTCTTGCTACTAGTAACAAGAAGCTGCTAGTAGCAAGATGGCCCACGTTTGAGGCGGCACTCACGCCATGGAGCACGAGTCAGGCCGGCTCGCGTGCAACTCAGCGGGTTGGTGTGGTTGGCTGATGGGCATGGTTGGTTGATGTTGGTTGTGGGAAGACCACCCGGACTCTTAGGGGCCAAATGTGAAGCCCAAGCTCTTGAGCCCTATGTTTCCTTGGTGCATCCCATACACCTTGTGTAAAGACTTCATCGGATTCTCCCGAGTCCACAAGTCCACTGTGAGAAGCCAGGGAATTCTGAGCGACTTCCTGACTTGAACGACCTGGCTTTCTGAGCTGGTTCATTCTTGGTGCATCTACCTATCTTGCGAGGACGGTCTTCTCTAGCAGCCAAGTCCCAAGATGAATTGATCCCAAAGCCCTGGTCGTCCCAAGACGCCCGAGCAGAGACGACGTCTGCTACGCGGCAACAGGCTGGAAGGACGAGTCTGTACCAATCCTTGGCCGTCCGGGGCACGACTGGATTCCATTCTTAGTATGGGATTTCTACTCGGAGTAAAGGAGTAGGAGCTGGGACAAGTGACAAAAGATCACCTAGCTTGGTGAATTAAATCACACTCTACTCCCTCGATCTGTGACCTACTTGTCAGTTCATTCACTTCTTGGCAGGCTCAGACAACCACCACTGAACACCCAGCGCTTCCAGCGATGGAACAAAGATTGATGGACTTGCAAGCGCTTCCGGACCCGACAAGGCCCGAAACCCGACGAAACCGAGGGTTTGGGTCGCGTTGCTCGAATGAATCGGGCAGTCGCGATCTCGCGGTCGCGGTGAAGAGCGAGGCCCAAGCAGGCCAGCCATCTAGCCACAGAGGCATAGCTCAAACATGGAGTTCTCCCGGTACCCCATTGTCACCCCCATGTAAACCGGATAAAGGAACATATGTAATATAACTATGTATACACTCCCAAAGTTTATGGATTCTCCATTGGGTCCAAGGCAAAAGGTGGCGGAGTTTTGCTCAAGTGCCCGGCGGAGTTCTGCTCCCGATCGAAAGGCAAGGCCTAGGGCTGCAAACTGTGAAATCATGAGAAATCTGTCCCCAAGGATGTTCTTTGGATGTAGGGAAGTCTTAAACGGGGAAAAAATGGATTTGATTGATAATTGTTCAACTCCTTCCTTGTTGGAGCAGTATCCAAGAGTCTGCTGAAATGGTTATTGAAAAGAACACATGATTCTCATGGGGTGCATAATCCACCACAGCTGCGCCCCAAAGATGGCCATAATGCTCTTCGAAAACGGCCAGTCAGGGCCCAAAAGCCGTAGTTTCATGTTCTGCACCGAAGACGCAACATGGCCCCAGCTCCAACCCCCCAGATCGTCCACGACGTGCTTTCGCATGTCCCATCGTTTAAGCGGACTCCAAAATAAGACCAGGGAGGCAACGAGATCATGCCATCCAAGAACTGAAAGGGGCGGGGGGAGGGTTCCGTACCCCAAAAACCATCACCAATTGGTAAATGGTTGAACCGCAGACTATGGACCTTCAAAAGCACTGGAAGTTGTGGAAACGAATCTCCTCTGAACTGTGTACAACTCCTCTAAGAACTACACCTTCAACGTATATCCGAATGTGTCCCTGATTTGAGACACACCTAGGACCTAGATGAAGTCCACGGACCAGGATCCCGAGGCTGCAAACATCTCCAAGCCACGCCAGCTTTGCGCTTCAGGCGACAAATGAAGGCATCTGCACCTCATCAGACAGATCGTCGATCCAAGTTAATCCCCACATGATACGATGCCATCGCACCACAGATGGTGTAAATTCCGCAAGAGGTAACCATTTCCCACATGGAACTGGATCGGCGCCGTTCTCATTGATTTTCCGCAGGGGCTGAAAGGGCTGGCGCCATGCTGAGCCTGTGGCTGGTGGCCATCCGCCCATGAGAAGATGGATTCAGTGAGGCCTGCAAAGACTCGAGCGGAGTCGAGGACACGAAGCGAAGACTCCAAAGCCAGAGCACGACGCTTCTGCTACTCCCGGGATGACCAAAGGTGCTGGTCATCTACGGTTGGTTCATAGGCTGATAAACATTGATGGGGTTGGAATGTCGTTTGACAGGCATGAAGACTTCAGGTCTGTACCCTCTCACGTCCTTTTACAAGTCTCTTGTTTACGGTTGTGTGTATGTATGTGTGTATATATATATATATGTGTGTGTGTGTGTTTTTTATATTTATATAGTTATTTATCAACTGTCAATCGATCGGCTGTGCACCAACCAAACAGGAAATCAAGACTGAAAAGAGAGTCTATTTGGAGGACTGTTCCCACTACCCCCTGAAGCCAAGTTATGGTTTCTGACTCAAAAGCCTTCATCTCCAACCACAAAAACAATAAGACCTTGGCAGCAGCATTCCATCATCCAATGTCCACCACCCGCCCACCATGTCGCGGTTGTCATCCAGATCCTCCGCCACCTTTCGCCGAGTCGAGCCGGGGCGAGTCGTGGGTGGCGTCGCAGCTCTCAACACCCAGCCAAAGGGACGATGGTTAACACCATGTAAGCTTGTAGACTTGTAGCAATCCAGTCTACACTGAAACAAAAGAAATTGACACGTTCCACCGATGAACGACGACTTCGATTTGTAAGCATGACGTAGCGTTTGAGAGTGACCCTCAAATACAGTAGACACAAAAATATATCAAAGTCAATCCCCATGAAACAAAAAGAAAATAAAACCTATGAATTCATATGATGTCCCTTTCAATGTGTATATGTTATATAGCGTAATCTTTGGCACCGAATGGAAACCACTCATTGATCTCTTCTTCGCACCCCCTCAACGCTGCATGCCTCGGCTTCCAGGTCCGGCGCGGCTGGGCCTCGGCGTCCAGAAACCCTGGGCCGGGTTGGTCAATCACCAGCTCAGGATGACCAACCAGCCTGGTCATCTTGGAATTGAATGTGAAAAGTCTTGCAGCTGTCTGGTCTTCCTTTTTCACGAGGCCATGCAACATGTCCCCATGTCGATCGACGATGAGCCTCCCAGTCTTCAGCCTATTCAGCACTGCTTCACTGGGCATCCCGCTTCGGCGGATGCTCTCGGTTCCCTTCGCTTCCCTCTCCTGCAGGCAGTGATAGTCTCCAAAAGTCTCTTTTTGAGATTCACCAAGTTCGGAAGTCGTTTTTGCTTTCATCTCATGGGAGATCTCCAAACTATATCTCTTGGAAGTTTCTCAGAACTGAGTCCATCTTCGTCCATCTTTGTTCCAGAGTTGAGACTCAAATTCACCTTCGTTCAGATGCCGTGATGCCCTAAAACTTTGCCATGTACCGTTGTACCGTTGGACCCCAATTCGTTGCTTCAGTCGAAGACCGGTGCACCGAAGACACCGCTGTGCCGTTTCAGGAGAATGACGGGCCAGACGCTTGGGTCGCACTGCCGTAGCACTGGTCGCTGGCCTTTTTTCGAAGCGGGCTTCGTGGCAAGCGGGGGCCATGATTCGTTGGCCCCAACAAGTCGGATAGGGCGTCTCTGGCGCGTTCTGCCGCAGGCGAAACAATATCTAAGATATCGCATCCTTCTCACCTTCGAATTCAACATGTTTCAACATGTTTCAACCCGAACCCTTAGGCCCAACAGCATCTTCTTGGACTCGCCATACTTAGATGGCCTGTCCTGCATTGATGTTGGAAATCCCAACCAGGAAAGTGCAGGGGAACCTGTTCTAGTTCTACCAGTGAGACACCAGTGAGACTCCAACCCAGGCCTCTCTTGGTGGTTGGTGCGTCAAATGTCCGACTGACAAGAGTGTCGCTGAGTCTTCGCTTCTTGAGTGAACAAGTTGAATTTCCGGAAAAGAACCAACGAACGAACGAACGAACGAACGAACCAACCAACCAACCAACCAGCCAGTCATCTAGTCGTTGCAACCCATGCCCATTGTCTGTCTCAACCATGGACTACCGCAGCGAGATGACCATGGCTCAACTCCCCTACCCAGTTCAACGTGTCTGTGTCATCTCCATCAACAATGCTTCATGTAATTCACTGCGCGCATGTGGGGACGCCGCATCCGCCGGAATTCTTATGGATTCGTTGCCTTGTAATCTGGGCTGATGGCCCTCAGCACACTGGTCTCACCTGGATGCTGATCTACCTGGGCCACAGGATGGATGAAATGAAAGGCCACCAGTTTGGACTTGGCAAAACGTCTCCAAAAAGGGGACGTCCAACCATCCGCCCGAAAAGGACATGAAGAACCTCTGTAGCGCCAGCTCGTTTTGATTCACTCAGACAGGTCCCCTTCTCGACCAGACCAATGGTCTGAGTTGTAGATTGTCTGCCAGGCTTAATGACTGAGGCCACTGGGGATTGCCAGGCTACTACTTAGGACGCAGGAGAGCGAAGACGCTTCTTCAAGGAAGCTCTTTAGGGTGGCAGGGAAGCTTCCTTGAAGAAGCGCTCGCACGAATGATTTGGTTTCTAGATGTTTAGGGAAACTCGAAATAGGCAGAAATCCCGAGTCGGTCGACCTAAAGGTAGACCCCTTGAGTTGTCGGTTGTGCTCTTTCATTCTTTGCTGTTGCTTGTCTCTCTAGTTCCCATCATGTCTATTCATGAAAAAAGAGAACAAAAAAAAGATGGATCATGAATAATAAAAGAAAAACGTTCCATTCTTCCCTTAGACCCTTTACGGCTAAGAAGCGGGTCTTTCTTTTCTACTCGTTCCCATGTCCTTTCATCTGACGCCACAGGCACGGCATGGGTCGCCACCAGCGCACTGATCAAGACCGCCAAGCCCGAAGCGCCACACATCACCTGTCGACGCTCCGGGACGCTGCGGGTCGACGGGTGGAGTCGCTGTGATGATTGGAGTTGGGGAGATGTCTGGATTCTTTTTGGAGAATCCAGGTTGGAGGCCATCGCTAGTAGGGCCGGGTTTTGGGATAAGTCGATAAGACTTCTCTGAGCTTGTCTTCACCGGTGTCACCTGGTTTGCTGGGTTCGTTCCAGCAAAGTTGTGAGCCAGTTCTACGAGCAGTCTGCAGTGAAACCAGGAATTCCCTCAAAAGTCCAGGAATAAGGTACAGTGTAGGGAAAACATTCATGGATTGAAAGAGCATGGAATTTTACACCTGTATCCTTGGCCAATCGTTTTGGCCAACATTCTGTAGCGTGCCTGCTACTCTCCAAGTCATTAGCTCATTGACATGGAAGTGGAAAACCTGTTTGTAGAGAAACATGGTTTTGCGGAGGCCTCTATTCCACTTCCATGATTATTTCAGGGAGTGTATGATTCATGGTCACGATCCTCAAAGTATATACCAGGTGTAGCTTTAACCATCTTTAACCTATCTCAGCTGTCAAACCGGCCTCCCTCGTCCGACGGATCGGCCTCTTGAGAGGGCCAGTCTACTTCTTCAGTCTACCCTACCGAGGCCCCTGGCTGGCGCCCAAGCCGCCGGTGGCGCCCGTGCCGGAAAACCGGATGGTTCATCACTCAGTAGAACACTGATTTGCTGGGAAGCAACAAAGCTCATCAAACAGCGAAAGCACCGCCAATGCTGCCTTCTTCGGGTCCAAACAACAAAAAGAATGTATAGACTCTGGATGAATAAGAGCCCCCCATAACTGTGAAGTTGTTCAATCCAAAGGGGTGGTGATTCATCAAGAATTTACTTATGTATCTTATGTACATTAGGAAGAGTTCTCTCCTCAGGATCCTCAACGGTTTGGTGCAGACGCGTTCGAGCTTTGACCGACGGGCGGTCCCGTCGCTTTTTTGCCGCTCAGTGGCATAGTAGCCCGTGGGGGCGTATGCCGCTTGGTGCTCGAGTCGCATGCGATGGGAGTCCACAGAGACCACTTCTGGCCGGAAGATCAGGAACTGGTGTGATCACATCCACTAGAAGGATCTCTGGTTAATTGATCACATCCACCAGGTACATGATCATTGAACTGGTGTGATCATATCCACCAGGAAGATTCTGGTTCAATGATCCTTGGGGATGTTAACTTGCTTTAGAAGGCCCAAGGTGGATGTTCCATCGAACCGGCTGCCTTTTCACCCGACGGCCAGGATGTGGGACGACATCCAGGTCGCTTTCCGCTTCGCGTCCTTCACAGCTGGTTTGTGCTTTATCATGCTTCATCTATGAATCTATGCCATCCTAAGCGTTTGCAGTAATGTCAAGTCGCCCGGACGCTTTTGAAACCAATCACCTGTTTGGGCAGCCCCAGGGTAACCCCGCCACTTACCGCCTGTGTAGCCCTCCGTGGCAAACATGTTCAGGATGATCCCTGCTAGGAAGTTGCCCAAGCCAACGCCAGCATTCCTGGGCTCCATGAAAGCGCCAGCGCCCCGACAGGAAATGACTGGTGCGTGCGTATGTGTTTCTGTGTGTGTGAATCGGGAAGAAAAGATACAAAGCAACAGGTTGGACGAACGCTTGACCGTTCCAATAAGAACTCAGAACGCCACCGAAGAATTCTTGACCCTCACCGCCTCGTCTACCCGCTCCCATTCGTGCCTGCACATGACGTTGAAGCCCATGGTGTTGGCCCATTCAGAGTTTTCGGGCACCAACTGCCAGGTGATATCCTGGAAGCGCACATAGGCCTCAAGCGCTTCGCCACGGATCGCGAGCGAAACGGGTTTAAAGACCAATCCACTCCCGCTCTGCCAGAAATGCCAAAACCAACAAATGGAGGGAAATCTAGAGACCAAAGAGCAGCAAGCACAGGGTTGGTCTTGCACAAACCAGCAGCTGCTTGCAAAAGAGAATGGAAAACCCATGCACAAACCAGCAGGATGCTCTTCCCGACAAAGATGCTGAGACCAACTCTGAAAGCACTTAGCACAGGAGGTTTGGGAATCACACAGAGCACCGTCTTCAGAATTCACCAACTACCTTGGCCCGTCTTTCAGTCTTTCAGTCTTTCACAATCAGCGAATTCGTCTGTGAAGTTCTTGCAATTTGGTGCTCTCAGCACCGTTCCACCTGGTTCTGCTTGAAGGCTTGTGCTTCAATATGCAACCGATTCATACCAATTCTCAGTCTCCCTCAAGCTTCCCAGCACAGTCCACCGAACCCCATCCGCCACCGACCCCATCTGCGACCCCAGGGCACTTCTCCCGGTCCAATTTTCGTGGAGAACATAGCACCAGCGGTCGAATCTCCGGTGGTTCGTTCGAACAGATCGTCGCCCAGGGACGGCACCAAAGCAGAAGCCAAACCCAATGGCAACGGCCTGAGACGTGCGACCGGAGTGGCGAGGTTTCTCCAGACGTGTCGTCATGCCCCTGCTACTAGTAGCTTCTATAGCTACTAGTAGCGATGCCCTTGCTACTAGTAGCGATGCACTTGTTACTAGTAGCGATGCCCCTGGGGTTGGGGTTGGGTTCTGACTCGACTGTCAAAGCCTCAGCAGTCGGGGTTCCTTTTTGTCTCTTTTTCAGCATTCCTGCAGCAGTTAGTGATGCAAGTTCCTGGCTGATGGGCTTTTGAAAGCAAGTACATAGTGATTATATGTGCTTATGAACTGCTTTGTCAAAGGACGTGGAATGTTTGGCCAGTAAGCATACGGGCTTTGGAGTTGTGTGCCACGTCAAAAACCAAGCCACCCTGTCAACCATCGGTCAACCGACACATCCATACCCATCCCTACCCGGTCAAACCATCAGCTGAGCAACAAAGAAGTAAACCATCCTGGCGCCACGAAAGCACGAAAGAAACAGGTTGAATTGTTGAGCAAGAGATTAATTGGGTGTTCTCCTCCCTTCCAACCTGGACTCCAAAAAAGACGTCACCGGTGTTGGCTTGACCAACTCCATCAAATTCCTTTTGAGGGGAGACGGTCACCATGATCGACCAGTTGAACTTGTTTCGGCGTTCAGCTTGGTCGTGTGATCTCCTGAGCTCCGGCTTTGGAATGGCCGTCATAAAAGGGATGGCAATGGCCAAGATGCCAAAGGTCACCACAGCGATGATCCTTTCACAGTTGAGAGGTGAGGCAGTTATCAAATGTCTCAGCAACTCAAAGAGTGCCCGAGTTGGTCAACGAGTGCTGGAATTATTTTTGAGTTGTGAGGAAATTCCTCAGCAGAATGTATTTTGACCA